GTCTGCGTGGTGCTATGCTTCCCACCATAATGATAACAGACTAAATCTCTGTACTGTAAGCCAGCCCCAGTTAAATGTTTTCCTTTATAAGAGTGCCGTGGTTATGATATTTCTTCACAGCAATAGAAACCATAACTAAGACAAGTCAGTACAAAGATGTCCTCAGAGGAGAAAGTCCCCTTCTGAGAAACCAGCAACAGTGTCATCCAAAGGTGGCTCTAGAAACAAAAAGCCAATGTTGTTGGGCCAGGGAAGCAGGAGAGAAAAGTTGCTGTCTAGGATGGGGCTGAGAACTCTGTTTCTCACTCTGGTTGAGACAGGAGGCCCTGGAAGGACTGAGCCACGTGTCCTATGATCTGACTGTCTTTGACAGGATCACTCTGGCTGTCTGATTAGAGTGACCTTCTAGAAAGGAAGGCAGATGGATTGAGGCAGCCCAGTCAGGGGGTAACTATAGTACTCCAGATGAAAGTCACTCCCCAGGGCTGCCTCTTGAAGGGCTGTCTTACACAAGCCTAGAGGGGCCAGTGCACAGACGTGGCCGGAGCAAGGTGGTACCTCAGGCCTGCTGGGGTTAGATGGAAGGGGCTGGGATTCTGGACCTATCTAGAAGGTAGCACAGACTCCCCCTGTTCACACTGAAAATGGGGTCCTCTTTCCTTATTTCCCCATACAGTGACCTTCCCTAGAGCAGGTCCAGGCAGAACTTTGTTTAGATTCTCAGGAACCAGAGAAGAGTCACCGAACACTTCTCTAGTCTTGATGCAGGTCCCCATTCTCCCAAGGGCCCGTGGCGGGGGGTGGGGGGTGGAGCAGGGGACACAAAGTGCAAAGTGAACCCGGTGTAAGGAGACAAGATGCCTATTAATAGCACATCATATTTATGCAATGACATGGTAGGAATTTTTTAGTGTTTTCTGAAGGGAAAAACATTTTGTCTTTGATGGATTTTCTGTTTTGCAGACATAATTAATCATGTCAGAGGAAATCAATTTCTCTAAGAGCAAAAATAATCTATGTTTTGCCAACTACAAACACCACTTTTATTTAAGATACACTCTTTCTCCATTGACTGTGCTTCTGGGCGCCAGCAGCAAGCTCGCTGTCCACACACTTGGCTAACCACGATTCACCGAGAAGTGTGGGGCTCTTGGAGCCGTGGAGTTAAAGATGTTTCTGCTTCATCAAGAGAACTCTCCTTCTGTTTCGGAGGTGACAAATAAGTGGCAATATACACGAGGACAAGTGTTCTCCAAACCTCTGAGCCACAAACACTCCCTTAGGAGCCGTGGGAGCACGTACAAGCAGGCTTAATTCACCGGCAGATGGGATGGAGTAGCTCTGCCTGTGACCATCGCAATCCCCTGTGCGGCCATTCCAGGAGAGGAGCTGCGGGTCCAGGGAGTGGGGGAGAGACACTATCCCTACCATCTGCCTTGCTGTTGGAAGGTTTCGAAGTCAAAAACCTACCGTCTCGTGATTCCCCTGTGCCTCTCAGGTCTGCTCTCTGGAATTTCAAATAATATTTTTCCAAAGAGATGAAGATGGCTCTCAAGCCACTCCTGAGGATTCCCTCTCTCTCTGTCTCTCTGTCTGTCTCTCTCTGTCTCTGTCTCTCTGTCTCTGTCTCCCTGTCTCTGTGTCTGTCTGTCTGTCTGTCTCTCTCTCTCTCTCTCTCTCTCTCTCTCTCTCTCTCTCTCTCTCTCTC